TGATACATGCTGAATACCCCTCCACAAATGTGAACAGCATTCACATGCAGCACACTACGCATGCACACCATGTCTGCACTCATTATGTTGAATTAGCAGCTTGCACAACTCCACACTCCAGCATGTGTGCACACATGTACACCTTCATCTTTATGACCACTCAGCTCATTAAAAATCAGAGCTGCCTGTCTGATTGGTTTTGCTCAATTAAACCTCAGCATTTCTTATGTCTTCCTAGGTTACAATAGGTTGTATCCATTCCTGGGAAAAGTTATTTTAATGCCAAGCCAACGGGATTTCCCCTTTGTTTAAATTATAAATGGACACAATAGTCTGAAATGCAGCTCCTTGCGAAAATAGCTTGGCGTTTGTAAGTGGTAAATTCTAAACTTTCTGTAGCTTTTGGCTTCTGGAAGCAGTAAACCCAAAGTACCGTTTCAGACAGGTTTTCGTTTTCCCCTCGGCTGGCATGACCCCACAGGTGAAGATGGTTCCAGGCATGCCGGGGTCCTGTCTGTGCCCCTGCTAGCGGGTAGGTCTGTTTGGGTTTGATGGGGGCCAGGCCAGCCTGAGCCATGTGAGGCCTCTGGGGGAGCTCAGGCCGTGGGCGCTTGGTGCCACCCCTGCCACTGCATCCACTGCACAGGGGAATGGTGGGTGCATTTCCCTCTCAAGGCCTCTCTGTGGGTGTTCGGACACGTTGGCCCCATTTTCCAGCCAAGTTAGTTCTGGTCCCGTGACCTCAGTCCCACACAGTGAAGACATCAGCTTTTTCTTACCCCGGACGTTCCTTTGGCCTCCCAAGTCCCTTGTTCCCCTAAGAGCTGGAATGTGTGCTTGCCCCCCAGGCCGTGGCGGGCTGGTTGTGGGTACCTGTCTTGTGGGAGGGTTGGCACGATGTACCTGCCCTGCCATCATGCTGGCCAGACATGGGCAGTGTTGGAATGAGGCACAGTGACAGCATCCCAAGTATAGTTCTGAAGCAGCCAATTGTATAAACAGTATGCACCGGTTATTTATGTGATCTGGAGAAACAGTCAAACCTTTATTTTGCAGAAGAAACTATGCAGATGAGCCAGTGTTCGTTCCTGTGGTATTTGGAGATGTCCACTCTAAGTCCTGCTTTTGTCCTCCCCAGCGGACAGCACCTTCGACAGCGGCCAGGGCTCTACCGTGTACTCGGACTCGCAGAGCAGCCAGCAGAGCGTGGTGCTTGGCTCCCTTGCCGACGCAGCGCCGCCCCCGGCCCCGTGTGTGTGCAGCCCCCCTGTGAGTGAGGGGCCCCTCCTGCCGCAGAGCCTGCCCTCGCTGGGGGCCTACCAGCAGCCCACAGCTGCGGTGAGTCAGAGCGCCATTCCCACCCCCTTCCCCATCCCCACTATCTGTTCTGAGGGCCCTGAGGGCTCTGAATTCTATGATGGGCTGTCCAGGCTGCACTGCACTGTGGTCAGCGTTAAAAGTGGCCTGTGGTCAGTGTCCAGTCACACTTCCCCTGGGGAGACATTCAAAAGCCAGGCCCAGAGGAAAGCCGCGTCCTTGCTGCCAGCTACGGAACTGCTGGCCGAGTAGCCCTGATGTTCCTGTAAAGACCTACTAGATAGGAAAGACACCCTCTTGGAAAAGAGACCCCAGGACACCCAGAGTTTGGGAGGCTGTGATAGAGCTGAGTGGTTCCCCCTGGGGGGTGGGCACAGTGATAATGGTGACAACCCACAGCCCCAGTCATGATACCCATTGACTTTGCCCTGGGTCTGCGACATTATCCCAGACTGTTCCACAGATCATGGAAAAGCATCATTTGTAAGAAGGAAACCTGAGATTCGATCTCACTGCCCAGCCTCCTGAGGGGCTCCTGGCACTTCTCTCCCACATACTGTGTAGCGGTTAAAGTCAGAGCTATGAAAATAGGGCGGGGCTGAGGGGAACACTTTCGGGGAGCACGTGTGGCGAAGGAGTGATGGAGCCTCGGGCTGTGACGACGCGTGCGGGATGATTCCCACGGGAAAGACTAAGATGAGTGGGGTCACATTCGGCATGTATTTTTTTTATTTTGATTTTTTCAAAACACTTTAGAAAGCAAAACACGGTGAAACCCCGTCTCTACTAAAAAAAAAAAAAAAAAGAAAGCAAAACAATTGCTCTTTGCAGTCCCAAGTGCCCAGCCACGGAGGGGTTGCCCATGAGCCCCAGGCAGTAGATTGGTACCCTCAGAGGGTAGTTGGTTTATTTATTTATCTGAGACGGCGTCTTGCTTTGTTGCCCAGGCTGGAGTGCAGTGGCGCAATCTCTGCTCACTGTAACCTCCGCCTCCTGGGTTCAGGCAATTCCTCTGCCTCAGCCTCCCAAGTAGCTGGGATTACAGGCACATGCCACCACGCCCAGCTAATATTTGTATTTTTAGTAAAGACAGGGTTTCACCATGTTGGCCAGGCTGGTCTCGAACTGCTGACCTCAGGTGATCCTCCCTCGTCGGCCTCCCAAAGTGCTGGGATTACAGGTGTGAGCCACTGTGTCCGGCCTCAGAGGGTGGTTTATGGGGTGGGCTGTTTCACCTCCTGTGTGAGCCAAGAAGCCCAAGCAGGGACATCACACGTGCAGCCACTGTGTACTCTGGGCCAAGCTCCTTCTTCCCTAGCGAGCAGCTCCTGCCTGGTGCTTTGGCTATGCTGGTTGTCACTCGCACACTCAGCACTGTGGCCCGTCTTCTTGATGCCGTCTGAGCGTGGGCACATGGGCTGTTCTGGCCTCCTCTGTCCTGCTGGCTGCCCTGCTGCACCCTTGCATGTGGGATCGCCCTTCCCGGGTCTGCTCAGTCAGAAGGGTGTAGAAAGGCCCTTTGGAAAAGCAGTTGAAGCTATTTGCCGAGTCTGCCTTTGCTGACTGCAGCCCCAGCACTCATTTGCAATTTGCATTTGCGTTTTCTTCATTTCACAAAATGAAGTGAAATACAATTTTAAACAGCAGAAAGACCTCATTTAAGGAAAGGTGAGGCTGGATGTGGTGGCTCATGCTTGTAATCCCAGCATTTTGGGAGCCTGAGGCAGGAAGATCACTTGAGCCCAGGAGTTCCAGGCCAGCCTGGGCAAAAAACCGAGACCCTGTCTCTATAACAAATTAAAAAAAAAAAAAGAAAAGGCTACTTGCTGCTCCAGAGTGGTGGTTCTTGGCTTTGAGGATTGGCTGAACTGGGGCTGGACTGGAATGTTCTGTCTGGCTCTCATTCCTCCTCAGCCTAGGTTAGGGCTTCCTGTGCCATATGATGCCACATGAGGCACTCCTGGCCTGGGCTCCCACTGGTTCAAGTCCCTCTCCTGTGGCCTGGGTGATGCTGCTGGTGTCAGCATCAGCCTGGAAGCCAAGATACCTGAGCAGGGACATCACAGGTACAGTCACCTTGGACCAGGGGCCCGAGTCTCAGTCTTCCTACCCAGTGACACAGAGACAACTTATTCAAAAAGGATGAGGCCTGGAAGGAGTCCCCAGGTGCACTGAGGGCTCTCCCTACCACCCCTGTGCCTTTCCTGGGATGGTTGCCATGGTGATGTGCCTGCAGCGCCCAGTGAAGCAGGAGAAGCAGCCAAGGAGGAGCAGCCGCCATGGGGCTGCCAGGCCGCCCTGGGGGCTGTTGAGAGCACGAGGCCACTTGCTCCTAGGCTGCCAGGCCCTGCCCGAGCTCCTGGGCTGTGCACAGTGCTCAGAGCTGGTAGACAGATGGTCCGGCCCAGTCAGGCCCATCCTCCACTCCCTGGCTTCAGGTGAATCCAGAAGCCCAGCTCGATCCCAGATACACTTGCTCCAACCACTCACACCACGCTGCCTTTCATAAAGCACCCACCGCAAAAGACAAGTGAGGAGAGCAGTTTCGGGCATGTTGTCACTCATGTGATCCAGAGAACCGCACGGGAGGGAACGTTCGTGGCAGGGTGGGACAGCCACGATCCTCTGTAGCCGCGCCTGCTCCTCACATTCTCATTGTTTTGAAATAAATCCCAGACAGCAAGACACTTCCCCTGTAAGTGATTCAGCCTCCGCCTCTGCACAATAAGGACTCCTAGAGAACAAAGCCCCATCCCATTATTACACCAACAAATTAACAAATTTGCAGCAATTCCTCAATGGCAGCAAATACCCATTCTGAGAGCTTAGATTTCCCATTCTTCGGTGGTCTGTGTTCGCTCCGCTGCCGGACTGCCCACACGCTGTTCCAGGGCCCATTTCGCTTCATATCGTCTGTGAGTTGTGTATATGTTTTCATCTGACGTAGTCACAGTCATACGGACCGTGAGCTTCCGCAGTTTAATGTCCTCGGGAGCCTTTCTCCACGGTTCTGCAAAGCCTCTGTGCTGGCCTTTGTTGTGGTTGTGTAACGTTCTGTGGGGCTGACGTGCCCGGGCGCCCCTGGGCTGGGGACTGTGCTGTTCCTGGCCCTTCACTGCTATGAATGATGCCCAGGGCCGCCTCACTGCTTCTGCTGTCATGTTCCTGGGAAGAGGGACCCTGGTGAGGACCAGGCACAGGGATGACACGAGGCTACCCTGCCCCTGCCTGGGAGGGGGCCTGGTGGCCGAGAGCTGCTGCTGAGTGTGGCCCTGGTGCTCTCTGCAGCCTAGCCTGCCGGTGGGCTCCGTCCCAGCCCCCGCCTGCCCTCCGCCCCTCCAGCAGCACTTCCCGGATCCAGCCATGAGCTTCGCCCCCGTGCTGCCGCCGCCCAGCACCCCGCTGCCCACAGGTCCAGGCCAGCCAGCGCCCCCCGGCCAGCAGGTGAGTGTGGCACCTCCTGTGGCCACTGTCGCTCCAGGCAGGCAGTCAGCTCTGCTGGCCCCTGGGCCCAGGTCTGTGAGCACCTCCCTCAGACCCTTTGCTCACATCCTCTGTGGTTCCCCCAGGTATTTGGTGTGGCCGAGGGATGGGGGTAACTCTCGTATGTGCATGTGTATATGTGTGTGTGTACGTGTGTGTGTGCGTTTGCGTGCGTGCATAGTGTTTGCAGCACCCTGCACATGGGAGGCTCTGCTCACTCAGAACATCTCTGCAAGATCTGCTGTGTCGTGGCTCCAGGCTGACTGGAGTTATCTGAATGTGTGTATGTGTGACTGTGCAAGTGTGTGTGCAGGTATGTGTGAATGTGAGTGTGTCCGTGTACATGTGAGGTTGAAGGTTGATATCCTGTCATGTGTAACCAGTGGGGTGCGCTTGTCTGGGCAGATTGGTGGTCTAAGAGGAGCTACCTTCTCTTCTTCCAGCCTCCTCCGCTGGCCCAGCCGACACCCCTGCCGCAGGTCCTGGCCCCACAGCCCGTGGGCCCCCTCCAGCCAGTGCCCCCCCACCTGCCACCGTACCTGGCTCCAGCCTCCCAGGTGGGGGCCCCTGCTCAGCTGAAGCCCCTCCAGATGCCACAGGCGCCCCTGCAGCCGCTTGCTCAAGTCCCTCCGCAGGTACTTCTAGGTTGATGGCTGCCATCAGTGGTGGCGCACGCCTTGCCAGGCTCTGGCTGGTGCACCAGGACACCCACAGAGGGGGTTGTCTGTGCATGTGACCTGTGACCTGGGGTCGGGCTGGCCAGGGAGTTGGGGCTGGGCTGGGGAGTCCGGGCCGGGCAGCGTGGGCTTTGTGCACAGTCATATGCACCAGGAACGCTCCAGGGACCCACACAACCAGCCACGTATCCCTTGGTGGGTGGCTTGGCTGCTGTCTCCTGCCCTCCAGCCTCACCTTCTCTCCCAACCTGGCAGGCTGCTTTTGGTCCTTCCAGGCCATGACACCTTCTGGGCTGTGAGTGTCGGATGGGGTCCTTCAGGGAGGGTGGGCAGCCCAGCACCCCATCACCCGGCACCCTCCCAGCAACATGCCCATCTGCCCTCAGCGTACCCATGTGCCCAGGCTCATCCAGGATAGGAAAAGGCTTGTTAGTCCAAGGTTGTGGACAGCAGTCTTGAGATGGTTGCTGGGCTGGCACAGAAAGCAGGTGAGTTTGCCTCAGAGGAGCGTTCTTCCTGTGGAGCTCCCCCAGGGCCGTGCGGCATGTGGCTCCTTGGAGTTCCAGAGCCAGCCTGTGGCATTGCTGACTGCAGGGAAGCCCAGCCAGCAAGGCTCGACTCACACAGCAGAAGTGACTTCTGCTGTCTCTCTCTGGGGACACTGTCCATCACTCGAGGGACCCGACTGCATGTAACTGGTGCAGAATGATTCCAGGGCCAGGGCACCATTGCCCAGGTAAATGGCATGGAGGATTCTAGGTATTCCCGAGGCCTTCGGTGACCCAGACTAGAAGTGTGCTTCACTCTGAAGATGGGGCAAACGTGTGTTCCTGTGATTCACGAGCCCCACCTGGAAGATTCTTTTGTGTTGTCTCACCCTGCTCAGGCCCAGATGTCACCCTAGGCCGTTAGGCAGCTTCAGAGTCTAGTGAAATCATTATCTTGCTCGTTCAGACAGACAGGAGTTCATGTGCATTTTTGCTGCTGCTTGATTGCGTGGAGGTGTAGGCCGTGACACACACCAGCATGCACAAGAAGGCTGTCAAAGATGGAAATGCTGAGTCCGCGTCGCTGGGTGTCAGCCACCCCCAGGAGGCACAGGCATTGCTGAGAAGATATAGGCGAGGTTTCGGGAGTCCCTGCTGTGGGGAATGCTGGACAGGATAGGGGTGTCCCCTGAGCCAGCTAAGGGGGCTCAAAGATTTGCTTTCTCTGAGAACCCTCTGAGAAGTTAGGTTTCAACTTGAATTTGTGCATGTTGCAGGGATCAGGCTAAGGTGATTTCAGATGCTCAGGGCCAGTCTGGTGGCCCTGGCAGTCCCAGCCCTTCCAAATGAAAACTCTCCAGGGCTCTGAAGTCACTCCTCTATGACTCGTGGTCACTGCTCCTGCTGCTCACACTATGTGAGCTGCCCCTGACTCCCTCAGAGCCCCCAGCAGGGCTGTCGTGAGTGTGGACACAGGGAGATCTCCCTGCGCTGGACCAGGGGTGATCTAGCAGGTCATTCCCAGCCTGCCAACTTTCCTTTTCTATTTGAAGAGCTTTACATGGTTGGGATTTCTGCTTCTATTGGGTTTATCTTTGGGTTCCCTTCAACAGCAGCTACACAAAGGTGTCTCGGAGGGAAAGGGTCATGCTCTCTTCATCCCATGTCCCCTCGTCCCCAGTGACTGTGGCTGTCCTTGCATGCAAGTGCTGTGGTCAGGGACCCTGGTTGGGGCCCACACTGACACACTTCTGTGTCTCTTTCAGATGCCCCCGATTCCTGTTGTGCCCCCCATCACGCCCCTGGCGGGAATCGACGGCCTCCCTCCGGCCCTCCCAGACCTGCCGACTGCGACCGTGCCTCCCGTGCCACCACCTCAGTATTTCTCTCCAGCCGTGATCTTGCCGAGCCTCGCTGCCCCACTCCCCGCTGCGTCCCCAGCCTTGCCTCTGCAGGCTGTGAAGCTGCCCCACCCCCCTGGGACACCCCTGGCCGTGCCCTGCAGGACCATTGTGCCAAATGCACCGGCCACCATCCCCCTGCTGGCCGTAGCCCCACCGGGCGTGGCCGCCCTGTCCATTCATTCTGCCGTGGCCCAGCTCCCAGCCCAACCTGTATACCCAGTGGCCTTCCCACAGATGGCACCCACCGATGTCCCTCCTTCCCCCCACCACACGGTGCAGAATATGAGGGCCACCCCTCCCCAGCCGGCACTGCCCCCGCAACCTACGCTACCCCCGCAACCCACGCTGCCCCCACAACCCACGCTGCCCCCACAACCTGTGCTGCCCCCGCAGCCAGCACTGCCTGTGCGCCCTGAGCCCCTCCAGCCCCACCTTCCTGAACAAGCTGCTCCAGCTGCTGCACCAGGGAGCCAGGTAATCACTTGCTGGGCAGGGGCTCACCCTCCCAGCGTCTGGGGACCCTCAGGACCCAGAGATGCAAAGGACTCTTGGCTGCTCTGTCCTCCCGCTCCCTTCGCTGGGCCTGTGCTACCCCTGAGCACGTTGATTGAGGGGCAGCTGGGGGCCAGGCAAGGAGTCAGCTCTGCCCGGGGTGGTCCCTCTCAGGAAGAGATGTGTGTGAGGTTGAGGGAGGTGGGGGCTGGCGCCAGCGCGGGGCATCTGCGTCTCCTCCGTGTTCTGAATGCTCAGGAGGTGCAGGAGTCCGTGCCTGACAGGTTCTGTGTCCCTCCCTTCCCACGGCTCTATGGCCCCTGCTCTTGTGGTGTCTTTGTACCTGCCCTCACCCAGGCCCGGTCTGGCAGCCTTGGTGTGGCTGGCATTGGGGCACAGGGCATCTGTCTGAGGTCTGCCCTTCAAAGAGCACCTTGTCAGGATGAGGCAGGGTGACAACCCCATCTTAGGGAGGGTGAGGAAGCGAGGCCAATAGCGGGGTGGGGGCTGGGGGCAGATGGCACTGCTGGCTGCAAGGGTGGTCATGGTGGGACCTGGGGCCATGTCCTGGTGTCAGGTCAGGTGGATACCTCATGGCAGCATGCTGGCTGGCTGTGAAGGGGCGCTCTGGAACACAGGATATGCGCCCCACTGGTGGGAGGCCTTCCCACGGGGATCTGCACCCCTACCCAGTCCACTCACGTTTTGGGACTTGCAGACTATTCTGTTCAAACTTAAGTGAGGAGAGAGAGGCTGGCATGGGAGCCTTCCCACCTGGGCATTCTCGCACCTGGGCCTCTTTACCTGGGTCCCATCCTTCCTGGCATTTTCCCACCTGGGCCTCCTCACCTGACCTCCTCCTACCTGGCCTTACCCCAGCTCTGAGCCCTGTCAGTCCTGTAACTGTGGCACAGCCCTGCCTTTCGAGCCTCAGCCTCCGCAGGAAAGTGACTGGCGTGGCCCTAATGTGAAGGGGTCTGGGGTGAAGCATCCCTGGTGCCAGGTGCCCCCCAGCTGTTAGTGCTGAATCCAGTCTGGAGTGAGCTGCCCCGCTGTGAGCCGTCCCTCCTGGCCATCACCTCTTGCTGTCTTATCTCCAGAGGGCTTTGTGTGTAGAGAAGGAAGGGGTGGTACGTACTGGATAGCAGGGTGGCGTTTGATTAGACAGTGAGTGGGAAGAATCGCGTGTGTCCTGTGGCCCACCTGAGTAAGCACTGTTGGTCCCAGCAGGTTTCAGCGGCAGCTCAGAGCCTGCTGGTTCACAGTCAGGTCTGTTTCTCAGAAAGCCGAGGGCCACAGCAGGGAGCAGGAGGGGGACCTTGCTGTCTGGGCCTTCCTACCTGAAGAGCCTTTCTGGCCACAGTTAGTGGCTACAGAGGGGTGCCCTGTGACATGTGAGGGTCACTGCCAGACTCAGTGGCTGTCCCTGCTGTTTGGCTGGGGAAGGGTCCAGAAGTCTGTTGATGAGCTGGGCCGGCCACCCCCTGGGGTCCCCTGAATGCAGCAGCTGTGGTGTCTGTCTGTCCAGGAGGGAAGTGGCCACTGGCCAGGCTGGGGCTTGGTATTTCTGACCCGGCCACTGGCTGCCAACAGAGGGTCTCAGGGCCAGCAGGCCCAGTGAATGTGGCTGTTCCTTCCAGCCCTGAGAGGTGAGAAGTTCCTCTACATTTTCAGCCTTCCCACCTCCAGAATGGGGGAAGACGACAGAGGGTACTTGCACTTTCCAGTCCATGGTTCCTCTTTCCCCACTTGTCTTACCTTTTACTGCCAAAGAGCTTTTAGAGGGAGATGAGAACAGTGAGAGAGCCAAGCCGAAGCCGCCGTCGCCCTCCAGAAGGCGGCAGGTGTCGGTGCGCACTCTGAGGCCCTATGCGCGCTCTGACCAGGGGGCCAGATGGGGCAGGCTGCCGCGGGCCGCAAGGGGTGGTGGGGCCTGGCTTTGATGCTTTGTGTGTCCTCTTCTCTGACCCTTCAGCCAAGCTTGGCAGGTTCATAGAGCCCTGTTCCTGACCTCTCCACACAAATAGACTCTTCCACAGAAAGGGCTGTGAGAATGCCTGTGTTTGTTTGCTTCTGCTCACTCCATCCGGCAAATGTGCTCTGAGACAGGGACTCCCCTTGGGGAGGGTGTGGACCGGAGAGGGGCGTTCCCATCTTGGCCTGGGTGTTCCCAGATACACCTGGGAATGGCTCCCTCAGTGAAGGCAGCACCGGCCCTGACTTGCATCTTGTCCCCTGTGTCCCCAGATTTTGCTTGGCCACCCAGCTCCCTATGCTGTGGATGTCGCCGCTCAGGTCCCCACCGTGCCTGTGCCACCGGCTGCGGTCCTCTCCCCGCCTCTGCCGGAAGTGCTGCTGCCCACCGCCCCTGAGCTCCTGCCTCAGTTCCCCAGCTCCCTGGCCACGGTGTCCGTCTCTGCGCAGAGTGTGCCCACCCAGACCGCCACGCTTCTGCCACCAGCAAACCCGCCACTGCCTGGCGGGCCTGGGATTGCCAGCCCCTGCCCAGCTGTCCAGCTGACGGTGGAACCAGCCCAAGAGGTGTGTGCCCCTCCCCCCAGCTTGTCCCATGACTGGGCAGTTGCGGCCACCGAGGGTCCGCACAGTGACCTGGGGTCTTAGTCCTAGAGGTTGGGGTTGCTCGGCTCTGGGACAGTCACCCAGGTTCTGTTCTCACCTCTCCCTAGATTTCATACTTTCTGTAAGCCACATCAAGACAGAGGCTGTGATTTTTATAGATACAGGTTTAGAGGATGCTTTCCCTGGGACAGGATGCCAGAGACTGTGAAAAGCTTTCATAGCACCAATGTGTCCTTTTTGAGGGATGATCAAAGTGGGTTAACATTTTTGGAAAGGAAGTGGCTCCCAGCTTTTATTAATCCACTTGGGTCCAAGCGTTTCAACAAGATAAAAACCTCCATGCCTGCTCCCATTGTGATGCCCCCCGGGTCGTACCCACCTGGCTGCAGAAGAGACAGGAGAAGGCAGGGGAGCAGGCTGGGCCGAGGCGGTGGGGAGGGAGAGCTGACTGCGCGGCTGTGCCCACAGGGAGGCAGGAGCCCGCGTGACCCGTTCTCTTTTCTCTGGGTTTTTATTTCAGGAGCAGGCCTCACAGGACAAGCCGTCCGGCCTCCTGCAGAGCTGTGAGAGGTACTGTGGCCCAGCCTCGACCTCGCAGGACGGGGGTGGGGGCGCAGGCCCATACAGCCACTCAGCCTGGCTGCTGCCGCTGCTTCACCTGGAACCCACTGCAGTTCGCCCTGATGCCATTAGGGGTTTTTCAAACCTGACATGGTGGAGCCTCAGGGGCCTTCTCTCTGGGTCTTGCTGGCTGTTGGAGTTTGGTAGCCAGAGGCCCCTGGCTGGACTCTGGGTCCCTGCTCTGGTTTGCAGTGCTGAGAATGTTCCAGAACGGAGAGGCTATGGGCGGAGTTGGTAGTGCCCAGAGGCTAGGAGGGGGCTGGGAGGGTGGCTCCCTATGTACCCAGATCCTGGGTCTCCTGGCCTCCTGGGCTGTGGACAGAGGTGTTTCAGAAAATGAACTGTATCCTTTTTTGAACCGTGACCATTTGTTCCACCCTTCTGGGGTTCTGGGCACTGCCTGTGCTTGGCATTTTGCAAAATGCAAAATGGATTGGCCTCACAACAGTGGTGGATGTGTTTCTGTTGCTGTGGCACAGATGGGGAAACTGAGGCACGGGGCAGATTCACAGGTCAGGAGACTGAGAGGACCAAGGTCATGCAGTTAGTAGAAAGCCCGTGCTTCCCTCTGCCCGTGCCACTTGGGTGCAGCAGGGAGCTGGGTGAGGGCCCAGAAGGAGGCTTGGTGTATTTGCACAGGACAGGGGCTGCCTCTGTAAGTCACGAATTTGGGCCCTGGAGACTCCAGACTGTTCCGAAGAAGTTGACTTTCCCCACCATTGCCAACGTGCTGGTTGTCCTTTGGTGCCATTAATGTTCTTGGGTTTTGCTCAGCTACGGAGGTTCTGATGTCACTTCTGGAAAAGAGCTGAGTGACAGCTGCGAAGGCGCCTTTGGAGGGGGCAGGCTGGAGGGCAGGGCAGCCCGGAAACACCACCGCAGGTCCACGCGCGCACGCTCCCGGCAGGAGAGGGCCAGCCGGCCCCGGCTTACCATCTTGAACGTGAGTGGGCGGGGCACGCAGGGGGGCGGGGCGCGGGGGGGCGTGGCGTGGCGGCCCGTGGCGGGGGGGGGGGGGGGGGGGGGTGTGGCAGGTGCGCGCGTGGGTACGCGCATGGCGGGTGCGCGCATGGCAGGTGCTGATGGCGCCCCTTCCAGGTCTGCAACACTGGGGACAAGATGGTGGAGTGCCAGCTGGAGACGCACAACCACAAGATGGTGACCTTCAAGTTCGACTTGGATGGGGACGCACCTGATGAGATTGCCACGTATATGGTGAGGCTGAGTCTAAGTGGCTTGCCTCCTGGTGTTCCTTGGGCATGTGTGGGCCTGAGCAGAGCGCCACAGGTCACATGTCGAGCCTGGCCCTGTGTGGAGGTGTCGGTTGGCCCAGGGGCTTTTCGGGGACAGTGCTGACCTTTTACGCCTCGGGCTCTTCCCCACACTGGGCGGAAACCCCTTGGATTTGGAAGAACAGCTTGAAGGATGTTCTAACCATTCTAAGATGCTGCTCCCTGAGGGCTTCCGGAGCATCCGAGCCCTTCCTCCAAATAAAAGGAAGCCTTGTGGGTAGGTTCCTTGAGTGAGGCATGGGGAGGACATCCCGGAGTCTAATGTCCTATGGTCCTTACTTAGAGCTTCTTCCAGCCTCCCCAGCTGGGGTGCGGGTTCTGAGCCCTGACCCATGTCCCATATCCCCTCCCAGCTCTGCTTGCATCTCCCTCTGGAGCCACCCCTCCCTGCCTGTGCAGACCAACCTGAGTCCATGAGCACCTTGTAGGCCTTCACAGCCCCACACCTGTTGTCCCCAGCGCCTGACCCAGGCTAGGAGTGGGGATGGTTTTCGGGCCCTCAGAGACTCTCCATCTGAAAGCACAACGAAGAAACATGGAAAGGATGCACGTGTGTTCCTCAAACTTCCTGGTCCATCCATGACTGCCTCCCAGGAGGACATTCTCCCCAGACCGTTATTCCTGCACGAGTGAGGTTTAGGGAGCCAGGTCCTACAGGGGCCAGCAGCACACTGGACAGTGTTGTAGCGCTCACTCCAGATGGCCACCAAGTGCCTGGAGTGGGCTGGCATGAGTAGGGAATAGAATATTCCATTCAAGTTAATAAGATAGATTGCCCCATGTGCCTGCCTGCGGCTGCTGCATTGCACATCATCAGAAAGCTGCCCCATTGGGCTGCATCCCCTTGACCACCCCTGCCCTGGCTTCATGAAATCCTCCTGTGGGCTTTGCAGGGGAAGCCCCTGGCTTTCTGCTCCTAGGCAGCAAGTCCCTGCCTTAGGGTCTGCTTTGCAGAGACACCCTGGACAAAGCCCTCCCAGAGCCCAGGGCCAGGGCACCGTCCCCTGCAGCGTTAGAGAAATTCTTCTGACGCTTGCTACAGTGGTCGGGAAGACTTTATTCAGGACTGTGGCAATGGGCGAGAGAGAATGAGTTTAACTCTGAATGCAGCAGACACCACAGGGGATTGGTAGCAGAGGAGCAGCATAGTGATGGGTGGCTGGAAAATAGCTAAGAGGAGACATCAAGGTTGGGGATTCTGGAGAAACTCTCGTAACAGGATCGTTGCTGCGGGCAGGTGAGAGGCTTTGTTCAACCTCAAAGGTGGGAGATGAGGAATATGGTCAGATACAAAGGCTGGGAATTCTTGCTACAACTGGCTTAGGCCGAAGACAAGATGGGGCCTAGTCAAGCCTATTTGGAGGGTCAGAGGCGCCAGCTGTGCTTCAGTCAGGGAGGAGCCTTCGTCAGCAGCAGGCAGCTGGTTCGTCAGTGCAGCACGAACACCGGGTCCTCGCTGGGCTGCTGAAACTGGAGAACATTTCTTCTCTCATCTTACTGTGTTTTTAACCTGTGTCTTGTATTACTTTATACACACGTGTTTCAAACAGGATAAAGCATAATAATAAGTGCATTCCCGTGAAGTTATCACTCAGCCACCGGCTGATGCTGCGTGTGCAGCTGACGCTGCGTGTGCGGCTGATGCCTCCAGCGCCCGTCTGCCGGAGCAGGAAGCCACACACGCGACATCAGCCACATCGGCCTGTGTCGTATCCACTGGTCCCCTGGTTTTCAGTCTTCTTGTGTGTCTCTGTGTGTGAGTCTGTGAGCTGCACACATGTAAGTCCTGCACAGTAAGCAATGTGGCTATCTTTAGCTGTGTGCTTTGTAAAAATAGCATCTTCTCAAGCCTTTTTTTCACTCAGCACTCGGATACTCCTCTCATTTTATTGCTTTTTCTGTCATCTTAGTAAACCAAGTCACCTAACATACCTGTCTGAAGTAAGCATGCTACAGATAGACAAATTTGGTCTGTAAAAACAGTCCAGCAGCCCTCCTCCTCGTAGCCTGTTCCTATCCCAGGGACAGACTGGCTCCAGGGACTCAAGTTGAAGGGTGGGTATGTGGCCAGCGGGACAAGCTTCTGCCCGCCCTGTGGACTGTCTTCCTGTGAGCGTGAGGTACCGGCTGTCCTGAATGTCCCATCAGTGGTTAGAGGTAGGCAGGCCTTGGATTCATCATTCTGACCATGACGACCTTGCCAGCCCCTTAGTAAAGGTGAAACTGCAGAAGTTTCATTTAATTGGCATGGATTCTAATGCCAGGTTTTACCTGGACCCTGTAGTTTTAGATTTTTGTTTTGTTTTCAAGTTAATTTTATTCTCAACATACTTAAAAAGAAACATAATATGAAAACATTTTCTAGTTGCAAAGGGGTTCTAGTTCAGTTTTGTTTAGTGAAAGTTTCACAAAATTGGAACGTTGCTTAAATTCTCGTATGTGGCACTCCAGTCACAGTTGGCTGGATGCTCCAACTTTGGCCACAGTGTACTCCTCTTAGACAACATCGCAGTCACATGCTACACTAAATTAAGCAGTGAATCACGGAACACAGCACAAGCCAGCACTTCGTTTAGGGGTATATGCAGGTGGTGCTGCTGGGGTTGGGGTCTGGGGTGCCAGGGGAGTGTGGAGCGCAGAGGAGCTCTGCTTTGCAGCCAGCTCGTTATAGTATAGGGCAGATGTGCCCATCCCAGAAGGGATCTGAGACCACGGATGCCCCAGGCAGGGCCTAGAGCATCTTGGTGACTGCAGAGGTGAGTGCGTGGGAGGAGGTACCATGGCAGGAAAGGGGCAAGGTCTGGACCCCACTGGGTGGTGGCACAGGCTGAACTCTTTCATTGGTATGGTTTTATGAGATGCACAGCATTCTCTCTGCCTGAGTGGCCAAGGATGTAGCCAGAGCCTGGTGTGAGCCCGGGGTCACGTGCCCATTGTGAAAGTTGGGGACTTGGACGTGTCCTGAGTCCCTGGTCTGGAGGCTTTGTGGCATTCAGGCTATGGTGTGGGACCTCCCCTCAGCCATGACAGGAGCTGCTCGTTGGACATCAGGCCACGCTTGCCTGTGCGCCGGGGCCATAGTTGAAAGTCAGAGCCTGAGGCTGGGAGAGCAGGGGGCGCACAGACCGAGAGGTGACGTGTGGCCATCCTGCTATAACCTTCCCATCTCTCTGTTGTTTTCTGTCTCCCACAACCTCCTGCTGGCTGGAGCCTTTGCTTTCAAACCCACCCTGCTTGTCTGTCATGACTGCCTGGGCACCTGTGCCCAAATGGACCCCTTCCCCTCTTCCCAGTCCCCATCCTTGGCCCCTCCATCTTATGCACTCACCTGTTCTGCAGATGGCTGGATCGGCCTCAGGGTCTGTGACCAGCTGCAGCTGGGGCAGGGCAGTGCTGGCCCAGGTCCCATGCTTGGAGAACGGAGTTGCTTCTCAAGATGAGGCTGTTCTCCTCTCATCCTGGGGCCATCCGTGTCACCTGCTGTGCTGTCCAGCCTGTGTCTTGGGGACCACACCCTTTTACCATGTCTTCCCAGGGTAGACATCCGTCAATCTGGATGAAGACCCAGGGCGGTCTTGGCTTGTGGGCGGTCCTCACCGGCAGTATGTCCCTTTGCAGGTGGAGCATGACTTCATCCTGCAGGCCGAGCGGGAGACGTTCATCGAGCAGATGAAGGATGTCATGGACAAGGCAGAGGACATGCTCAGCGAGGACACGGATGCTGACCGTGGCTCTGACCCAGGGATCAGCCCGCCACACCTCAGCACCTGTGGCCTGGGCGCCGGGGAGGTGAGGTTGTGAAATCGGGGTGGGATGTGGCGAGAGTGCAGTGGCTGGGCAGGTGGGCGCTGCAGCTCAGTGAGCTCATTTCTGACCCTCTACCTCATTCAGGAGAGCCGGCAATCCCAAACCAACGCCCCCGTGTATCAGCAGAACGGTGAGTCTGCAACTTCCCTCCCTGCTTTTAGCAGGCATTTGATGAAAGTCCTCGCTCAGCATCTTATCAGGGGTTTGGCCATTGCGTGGGGGATTATGGAAGCATGTGGTGACCAGGGGCCCCAGTCTGGGGACAGCTGCCCCGTCTGAGGAGCTGTCATCTGCAACCAGCATCAGGCTTTCATGGATGGTGCCCTGGGCATCCCAGGAACCAAGCCTATGCCAGGGGTCCTCTTGGGAGCTTCGGGGGCTGCCAGTGAGGCGCCCCAGGTCGGCTGTGCACCTCTTGCCCTCTGGTGTGAGGGAAGAGCAGGCAGAAGCCAATCACCAAGGCCTCTTTACCAAGGGGCCTGGGGAACCACCTGCTTCATGGAGGGAAGTGATGGGGATTAATGACTGGGAACAGTGTTCTCTGCCCACACCCTTCCTGGAGAAAATCCCATAAATGTAAAGGAGTTCCCCAGACCCACTGTGGCAAGTCTGGTGCAGGTGATGGGGGTCACACCGGCCTGGAGACGCTCACTCACTCAGCATGCTGTTTCTGTTCTGCCCTTCAGTCTTGCACACTGGGAAGAGGTGGTTCATCATCTGTCCGGTGGCTGAGCACCCCGCCCCCGAGGCCCCTGAATCTTCGCCCCCACTTCCTCTCAGCTCCATGCCTCCAGAAGCCAGCCAAGGTATGAGCAGCCCGCGCCCACGCAAACCCCTCCCTGTTTCACGTGCAGGCCTCCTTCTGTGCATGACCCAGCCAGTATGTGCACAGTGCCCAGGGCTATGCAGGGGGCTCACCCTGCCCTGTCACCCATGGCACAGAGAAGCCTGTGGGGCTGTGTTCCTGTCCCTGTTTTCTGCCGAATCAGCTCAGTCAAAGCAGCCTCCAGGTTTGAGTCTGCTCTGTTACCCCACCAAGCAGGTGGCTCGCATGGCCACACAGGTGTGTACTGAAGATCTCCACTGTCCTTCTTTCACAGTGTTAACCTGGCAACTCCTTGCTCCTGTCCCTTTCCTCTGCGCCGCACACCTGCAGCAGACACGCCTCTGCTGATTCTGCTTGCTTTGGGGGGTGGGGTGGGAAAGTCCCTGTTGGCGCTGAGATTCTGATTTTAAAGTGTTCACACAGACGTTTATCACTGTGCATTGATCTGCACCTGCACCTGCCTGTACCGATGCCAACAAGCCCGTGCTTTGGGCTGTCAGTTAAATCTTGATAGTCCTTTGGGAGGCTGAAAATAGTCACTTGAACAAATTTAAGGTTTAATTCCCTATCAGTTGGCAGGGGTAAGTTACTGATTATATAACTTGACATAACCTTATGGCACATTCATAAAAAATATTTGTAAATCATTTTTAATTTCATATCATGTGCTTCCAGTGACTCCCATTATCTTTTGGAGATTCGTTCCCATGGGGGACAGGTCAGCCTAATAACAAAATCCAAATGAAGCAACGAGCTGAAACAAGGTGACCTCAGGTAAAAGGCTTGGGCCCAGCCTGGGCTGAGAAATCGGAGAGAAGCAGCCTTGCCTACAAGATTGAATTTTTAAATAAGTATATGTTCATATATTACTTCTGGATTTAAATACATACACACCCAATTATAAGAAAAACCCTTCTAAGAGCTAATTTTTCCTGTGACGTAGGGGTGCAGGGCACACTGTGGTGTAAGTTTAGGGGACAGTATGGTTCATAGAAAGAAGTTAAACCCTCTTTCCTTCATCTATGCACTGAGTGACCTCAGGAAACCTGTTAGAGCTGGTTTCTTTCTGTATTAAAAAAAGAAAAAAGGAAAAATTGGTGGCAGATCTGTTAATTTAGATTAACCATCTACTGAGAATAACCAAAAAATGATAAACGTCATCTGTGTGAAGGCATTTGAAATCTGATCATAGTGGAGAATTATTAGGCTGGGATCCAAGGAAGGATGGAGACATAGGGACGTGAACCTAGTTTTGGCTCCTTTTCCCCAGGGAGTATCTCCCATTCCTGCAGGGGTGGCTAAGAGGCTGTGTGGCTTCAGCAGCCTCAGCAGGCTAGAGAAAGGGAGCTTATAGAGTCCAGGGCCCTGAGGGTGGTCTTGCTGAAGTGCTGTTCTGGAGAAGGAAGGACCAGCTGGAAGGAGACAGGCTTGCAGAGAGAGGAGCCCACCTCAGAGCATCTCAGCCCCTCATTAGGATGGTCTTGGAGTGCTGTGGGTTCAGGCATGTGCACGAAAGTCCTTTCTGCAGGAAGGAATATTATTCTGGGCCTCACGTGACTTGTATGAACAATTTTGTGAATATAATATCTGGCACATAATAAAAATGACCAAAGAGTTGGGTGTTTGGTAAGGTAGAGGAAGCACACACTCTCATTTTTCTTTCCACTGAAATGCACTGTAAATCCTGGACAGATGTGTGGCATAGCTGTCTGAGTACTTGGGAAAATTTTAGCAATGGGAAGATTGGGGACACACCCCAGAATTCAAAGTGCCACTGAGCTGCTGGTGAGTTGAATGTTCTCCTCTGATATTTCCTGGTTTGAACGAAGTACAGCCCAAGGACCAGAAGCAAATGCTTTGGTGCAGGCAGGAAAGCCTCCAGGAGAGATCCTGTAGTTCCAGCTCCCAGACCAGGAAAGGCAACTCCTAAAGCTCAGAGAAGAGAGAGAACCCCTCCCCATTTCTCACCCCGCTTCTCTTGCACCAGCACCCAGACAGTTCTGGAGGTAACAGGAGCAGCAGGTAATAGGAACATGCAGGAGCCAAAATAGTGAGAGCAGAGAACCGTTCTTTATTTGAGGAAGCCAGGGCTCTAGGAGCACAGAGCCAAAACCTATTGCATTTTTTTTTTCTCTGTCCTCTTGCCACCTTGTCATTCATGGCACAGTTACAGAATTGGGTGGTTTCTGTTCAGAGGTTTGGAAAGGTGAGTCCTAGGGAACCAGGAAGTATCATGGAGAGCACAGAAAAGGAGTTTGGGAAAGTAACCCTGTAATTGTTTATGGACTCCTGGGCTCACCCCCAACCTGTGCATGCATGCATCTGATCCTAATAGCATGTAAGAAACTTTGGCAACTGAGCTAATGAGTAGACCTCGCCCAGGTTCCAGTACACCTGTTTCAGATGCGATTAGTACTGCAAAGGCATTAAAAGTGGAACTGACCTGTAGCCACAGCCCATAGAAGGCAGGTTGCAACTTGCAGTCTGAATCTAACTAGGTTGATTGCCTACTGAAGCAAAAATATTAACGTTCATCATAGGGTTTGAACAAGTCTCAGGATTTCCTAATGTCATGAAAATGTTCAGAATAGAATTAGAAATAATTTGGCAAATGAAAAGCCATGAAAATGTTAACTTGCATGGAAAAAGATAGCCATGGTGCCAGTGACAAGATGATGTAGATTTTGGGATGATCTGACAAAAACTTTAAAGTAACTGTTATAAATATAACTGAAAAAGCAGTGACAAACATTCTTGAAACAAATAATAAAGTAGAAAGTATCTGCAAAGAAACAGAAGATGCAAAGAAGAAACAAATGGAATTTTTAACATTGAAAGTTAAAATACCTGAAATCGTCCAACTGGAAAACAGGGGAGAAAGATAGAAAAAAATAAACAGAGCTTCAAAGAACTGTGGAACAATAACTAAAGGGCTAACTTGTGTGTCATTAGAGTCTCAAAAGGAAAAGAAAAAGAATGTAGTGCTGAAAACATATTTGAAGAAATAATGCTAAAAATCTCCCAAGTTCGGTGAAAGACATAAGTCTACAGATTCTAGAAGCTAAGCAAACCCCAAATAGGTTAAATGCAAATCAATCTGCTGAAAAGTAACGACAGCCAGACCCAAATTATGCGTTACCTAGATTGGAACAGTGATTCGAATGACTATAGATTTCTCACCAGAAGGTGTGGTGTTCAGAAGAAAGCAGCAGGCCATTTTTAAAATGTTGAAAGAAAAAACTGACCATTCAGAATTCTGTTTCCAGGGAAAATACCCTTCAAGAATGAGGCTGAAGTAAGGCCATTCTCAAATAAAGAAAACCAAGGGAATACATGGGCTGCACATCTACTCTAAAATTAGAATTACTAAAGATCTTCAGGCAGAAAGGAAATGAGACTAGGAGATAACCTGGAATATCCGGGCTGAAGGAAGAGCAACAGAAGTTGTAAATATAATAGACTGTTCTTCTCCTCGAGTTCTTTAAAACATTTCTGACAATTGAAGTAAAAAAAAGATTGTAACAATGTTTGATAGAGCTTTCAATGTATGTAGATGTAATATATAACACAACTATGATATGGCAGGTTACCTATACATTACTACATTCCAATTCAAGTGATAGACTACTAATTCTTTTTTTTTTTTTTTAACCTTCCATTCCACCAGTGTGACAAATGGAAGGTAAACTACTAATTCCATGTAGACTGTGAAAAGTTAAGTATATATTTTGGAATTCCTAGAGCAACCACTGAAAGAATTGTAGAAAAAGATGTGTATAGGCAAAATCATAATAGATAAGATGAACTAAAAAACTTCAAAGGCCAAGCGTGGTGGCTCATGCCTGTAATCCCAGCACTTTGGGAGACCAAGGTGGGGGGATCACCTGAGGTTAGGAGTTTGAGACTGGCCTGACCAACATGGAGAAACCCCGTCTCTACTGAAAATACAAAAATAACTGGGTGTGGTGGCAGATGCCTGTAGTCCCAGCTACTCAGAAGGCTGAGGCAGGAGAATCATTTGAACCCGGGAGGTGGAGGTTGCAGTAAGCTGAGATCGCGCCACTGCACTCCAGCCTGGGCAGCAAGAGTGAAACTCTGTCTCAAAAATTCAAATAACCCGAAAGAGGAAATGAGAAGAGAAATAAAATAATTTTTAATTAAAAACCTGAGAGAAAAAAACCCAGAAAACAAACAATAAAATGGCAGACCTTAATCTAAACATAACTGATAATTAACCTCAAGGTAACAGTTTTAACATATCAATTAAAAAAAGTAATTATGAGAATGGATTAAATTTAAAAACCAAACAACTTGAGCTAAGTATATGCTATCTACTAGAAAGTTCAAATACAACGATACTGATGAACTGAAAGGTCAAAAGAAAAAGGATGGTAAAAGACAGCCCATGCAAACACAAATCAGAAGAATGCTGGAGTGCCTGTTTTAATTTCTGACAAAATAGACTTCAGAGCAAAGAAATTACCAGGGTTAAAAAGAGACTTTATTTATTTATTTACTTACTTAGTTTTTGAGATGGAGTCTCACTCTGTTGCCAGGCTGGAGTGTAGTGGAGTGATCTTGGCTCATTGCAACCTCTGCCTCCCTGGGTTCAGGCAATTCTCCTGCCTCAGCCTCCCAAGTACCTAGGACTATAGGCACACACCACCATTCCCAGCTAATTTTGTATTTTTTGTAGAGACAAGGTTTCACCATGTTGGCCAGGATGGTCTCAACTCTTGACCTCATGATCCACCTGCCTCGGCCTCCCAAAGTGCTGGGATTACAGGAGTGAGCCACTGTGCCCAGCTAACATTACATATTTATAAAGAATAAATTCATCAAAGGACATAACAGCCCTAAGTGTATACACACCTAAGAGCAGAGCTTCAAAACTAACAGAACTGAAAGCAGAAATAGACAAATCCACAACTATAGTTGGAGACTCCAACACTCTCAATAATAGATAGAACTAATAGAAAA